ACTAGGCACTATTTAAGCTTATTGAGCTATCGTGCCTCGCGCCTGAGCGGCAAATGTCATAATATATTATAATATAATCGCAAAACAGTATGAGTAATCACTAGTAGATACTCACAGGCTCTATTTCATCAGCAGGTTTTGGTTCTTCCCTGACGGTGTTGGCTCGTGCTAGTTCCTCAGTTAAGTACGCGCTTGTGTGTTGTGTCACGAGGAGATGAGATAGAATGTCCGTGCCTGGAGTAATATTATATTAGAACAACAAAGTTTTTCATACAGAGTTGCAAATATTTACGAACTGTATACAATTTTTGCGTCGTGAAAACAAAATCTGTTAATACTACATACTTGTTTCATTTAATGATGCCGTCTGGGGATTAAAATATTAATATTTTATTAGTTACTATAGTCATTGGGTATTTGTATATTTTATATTGATCTATACATGCTGCTGGTCTAACAGTTACATAAATAGTTATAAAATTTATAAAAGAAAATTAAAATATATTATATTAATTGATATCCTATAAACAGTGTAAACTTACTTATGTCTGTAGAGTATTCGCAGACGCAGTATAGCGTGGGAGCGGGTCTAGGAGCGACCTCCAGTGAAGGTGAGCCGGCGCAATATCCACTGTGTCTCAACACACCTCGGTAACATGATGTAGCATATGGACACTTGCTGCGCGACGTGCGACCGCTGTATATGGAGAATATCAAAATTATACTTTAGTATGTATTAAACATTTGGTATATTATTTATCTAATCTTTCTTCATTAGAAAATATAGAAATATTAAAAATATGATATCACAATATAATAATGCTACTAAAATAACATTTTTTTGTAAAAGTTAATGAGTGTTTTCAACACGATAAAGGAAAAACTACGTCCATTTACTGACATTCAATAAATCTGATTGTATTCAATGTTTGCAGAGTCGTTTTATCAAGTGGTTATACTAACAGGAAGTGTTTGTCACTGTCAAGCGGCGTGTCACACTCGCGACACAGAAGACCCTCTTGTATGACCAACGTGACACCTTCATACGTGTCGCTGATGGCGTGACACGCGACGTCCTTGATGGGAGGGCGGGCTTTGTTCTGAAAATAATATATTATTATATAATTGCAGTTTGTTGATTGTAGATAAATAAGTAGCAGTATATACAAGTAGCAGTAGAGTTATATGACGTACATACCTTGGGCAGGTTAATCAAGTGCTCAGTAATTTATTTTGATAAGGATTAATACCAAGTTACAAATAAAGAGCCTTTTCAAGCGGCGGATAATAAATTAAATTTTTAGAATAAAAAACCGCTTACTGTGACATAACTACATATAATATTTAGACATATGCTGTCGCGACACTTTTTGTAGATAATGATGAGTTCTGCAAAGTCGTAGTAAATGATTTGGTTCTATCATCAATAGTTTTCGCAGCGCACGCGACGTAAGGAATTTTTCAGATCATTTTTTTACACCTTGGGTTACATTATTAGAGTTTTAGTAAGGATCTCTAATTTTTAAGCATACATAGGGATTTTGGAACATGAAAGCGACTTTGTTTTATACTATGTAGTGATATTAAATTATATATATGTACCTTCCTCTTTAAATACACAATCTTTTAAAAAGCCACATCAAACTCCTTTGCGTAGTTTAAAAGATTTAACCATACAAGGGAATATAGAAACAGAGAAAGCGATTTTGTTCCATACTATGTATGTATGTGGAGATATTAAATGATTTCTCTTCGGTTTCTATCAAATTTTATCCAATCTCATAATCGCAGTTCTTATTCAGCAGTATGAATCTTGAATTTAGTTAATATTTATTTATAATAGACAGACACACTTACTGAGTAATGTAAGGCCTCGGCCTCGAATTTTGCGGGCAGCGGAGCGGCGGCGGCGGCGGCACGGAAACGCATACTGTTCTCCAAACTAGCGGGCAGCGGGCACCGCTGTATTCGAGGGTCGGTCCATTTGATTATACGCGTAAGATCCTGCCGCTCCCGCTGCCGCTCCCGCTGCCGCTCCCGCTGCCGCTCCCGCTGCCGCTCCCGCTGCCGCTCCCGCTGCCGCTCCCGCTGCCGCTCCCGCTGCCGCTCCCGCTGCCGCCCCCGCTGCCGCCCCCGCTGCCGCTCCCGCTGCCGCCCCCGCTGCCGCTCCCGCTGCCGCCCCCGCTGCCGCCCCCGCTGCCGCCCCGCTGCCGCTCCCGCTGCCGCTCCCGCTGCCGCTCCCGCTGCCGCTCCCGCTGCCGCTCCCGCTGCCGCTCCCGCTGCCGCTCCCGCTGCCGCTCCCGCTGCCGCTCCCGCTGCCGCTCCCGCTGCCGCTCCCGCTGCCGCTCCCGCTGCCGCTCCCGCTGCCGCTCCCGCTGCCGCTCCCGCTGCCGCTCCCGCGGCCGCTCCCGCTGCCGCTCCCGCTTCCGCCCCCGCTTCCGCTCCCGCTGCCGCTCCCGCTGCCGCTCCCGCTGCCGCTCCCGCTGCCGCTCCCGCTGCCGCTCCCGCTGCCGCTCCCGCTGCCGCTCCCGCTGCCGCTACCGCTGCCGCTCCCGCTGCCGCTCCCGCTGCCGCTCCCGCTGCCGCTCCCGCTGCCGCTCCCGCTGCCGCTCCCGCTGCCACTCCCGCTGCCGCTCCGCTGCCCGCAAAATTCGAGGCCGAGGCCTAATTAATATATCTGCTATCTACTTCCTCGAGTTAAAATGAAGCCATGTGTGGAAACAATATCACTATTAAATTACAACTGTGTTATGTCATTTATTGAAATTTTAAAAGTCATACATATTTCATTGGATATTTCAATCCATCTAAGTGAAATATATAAAATAGAAATAGTAAGTAAAAAGACTATACAAATAATTTTGTTATATTATTTATACGTATAAAAGGAAGTATTTCATTTTGTTATCAATATTAACTTAAAAGATCACTTTTTAGTTATACACAGATTGATGAAGATCCTTCTCTCTTTTAACAGTTTAGAAGACTCCAAATATCTCTGAATGTTTTAAGTGATACTCATAAAATGCCAATAACAATTTATAAACCGTCCCTTGATACCACATGTCCCCTATGAGTGTCTCTTACCACAACCTCTGTCAGATTAAAGACTAACCTTTCAGAACCGTAGTATCGTATTTCTAAAAGGTTAAATAGGCAGTTGATCAAAATCTTGTGAAAAATAGTCTTAGTTAGTCAATATTAAGATTACATTTACGATAGTAAATAAAATTCAATAGTGTAGTTGTACTTTAATGTAGGCCGGTTTTTAAAATCTTTTGTAAATCTAAGGTATAATCATTATATTAAGGTCCGATCAAGGTTTAACTGATTGAAAGTTCAGTACGTTAAGTGCTCTTTTTATACTTTTCAGCATCGTTGTCTGAAATAACGTTTTAAAACTGTATTATTTTCTTAGTGGATATTATTTCAACAGTCATTTCTAAGCTGTTTTCTTATAAACATTTGTATCACGGTACATATGAGATCTGAGGTCTGATTGACTCTATCGTGCATGTCACTACGCTTGGCCTGCTCGGCTTGTGGACGGATTTTATTTCTTTATTTCATACGTAATAGCTTGCGGCATGTTTGTTTTTATTCACTAAAGGAAGCAAGATTAGAAGACTGTAGCATTTTTATCTTATTTATAATGCAGCTGTGATTTCTAAGTAGGAACTTATAATGTTACCATGAGAATATATTTTCGTGTACTTCACAAATTAACACGAATTAATTATAATCTATACATAATATATTTCATTAAGCTTTTAATTAAGTTTCCCCAAATGTTACGTACTATAATTGATTAGCCAACAGCTCCTAAATATAGGAAGCGCAATGACAATAACATTCTCTGATGTTCACCAGCTCTTAATGTTTTACTTGTACATATTAAAGAAGAACTTACAAAAAAACTGAGATTACATTAAATACTTATCATATTCATTTCTAAGCTTGTTTTTTAGATATTTTTTTAATATAAATATTATAATTTAATAAAAAGAACTCAAAAATACTCATACAAGACCATCTATATCACACATGTTACAGATGCAATATAACGTCGTTATTATACTCTGACAGTATATGTATATTGAACTTTCAAATTAAAAAGGGTCATTGAAAAACTTTAGAACAAAAAATAAATACGAGTTAAATTAATGCTCTCTAATATATATTTAATTCGTATAGTGTAATAAACACTACATTTACAGAACCCGCCTCCAGCCTCCCCTCGGCCCCTTCAGTCTCTCTTACCCGAACCTCTGTCACAACTCAGGCGAGAACTCAGTTATATGGTTTGATTACAGTAAAATAATTGAAGATGGTGCTATGTAACATGAAATATAAATATCAATCAGCATTATTATTAGCGCGTCAGGTATATTTTTTAATCTCTAAGATGATTTGGCCTCACAGTAGCACTTATTAATTATGATCTAAAATATAAGAACTTAAAAAAAAGTATATATTTATCATTAAAACATATCATTATCAAGATCCACTGCTAATGAATACTTGTGGAAATTGAAATAGATTTTCATATTAAAGACGTCGTTTGTTTCACTCTAAATTTCGCCGAATTGCCAAAAATAAACGTTTTTATTTTGTCTGCTTCTAATTTAAAAAGCCACATCAAACTCCTTTGCGTAGTTTAAAAGATTTAACCATACAAGGGAATATAGAAACAGAGAAAGCGATTTTGTTCCATACTATGTATGTATGTGGAGATATTAAATGATTTCTCTTCGGTTTCTATCAAATTTTATCCAATCTCATAATCGCAGTTCTTATTCAGCAGTATGAATCTTGAATTTAGTTAATATTTATTTATAATAGACAGACACACTTACTGAGTAATGTAAGGCCTCGGCCTCGAATTTTGCGGGCAGCGGAGCGGCGGCGGCGGCGGCACGGAAACGCATACTGTTCTCCAAACTAGCGGGCAGCGGGCACCGCTGTATTCGAGGGTCGGTCCATTTGATTATACGCGTAAGATCCTGCCGCTCCCGCTGCCGCTCCCGCTGCCGCTCCCGCTGCCGCTCCCGCTGCCGCTCCCGCTGCCGCTCCCGCTGCCGCTCCCGCTGCCGCTCCCGCTGCCGCTCCCGCTGCCGCTCCCGCTGCCGCTCCCGCTGCCGCTCCCGCTGCCGCTCCCGCTGCCGCTCCCGCTGCCGCTCCCGCTGCCGCTCCCGCTGCCGCTCCCGCTGCCGCTCCCGCTGCCGCTCCCGCTGCCGCTCCCGCTGCCGCTCCCGCTGCCGCTCCCGCTGCCGCTCCCGCTGCCGCTCCGCTGCCCGCAAAATTCGAGGCCGAGGCCTAATTAATATATCTGCTATCTACTTCCTCGAGTTAAAATGAAGCCATGTGTGGAAACAATATCACTATTAAATTACAACTGTGTTATGTCATTTATTGAAATTTTAAAAGTCATCAAAAGTCTGGGATAAAAACTATCCTATGTTCTTTCTCAAGATCAACTCTATTTTTGTACCAAATTTAATTAAAATCAGTTCAATGGTGTAGGCGTGAAAGCGTAACAGACAGACAGACAGAGTTACTTTCGCATTTATAATCTTAGTAAAATTTTCAAGTAATGTGGCGTTGAATTGTAGTATAATGTACTCGTACCTACTGGGCCAAAATAACACCATTGAACATGAGTCAACTTTGATGCCTTTTAATATATATTATGGTTTGCAAAAAATAATAATTTTAAAAATATAGAAAAGAAAGCTTATTTATAAGACTAAATTAATTTATTACTTTTACTCCATAACAACGACTTGCACGTCAAACGATTTTGAGACGGCCTTGTATGGGGCTTTCCCAAGTGCACTATGAGCAAATCGCGTATGTGCTGTCTCAAAACTCCGTATCTCAGTTATTTCAAAACTAAATGATCTATAATTTTAAAGTTTCATGGTTTTATCCTCTAAAATTAAGAAATCCCATACAAACTGTCAACCCTTATTTCACCCCTTCACTGGTCGAAATTTCAAAAACGCTAGATCAAATGTTTAAATATATCCTATCAAGTGCTTAAATATAAAGTTTCATGGTTTTATCTTCTAAAATTAAGAAATCCCATACAAACTGTCAACCTTTATTTCACCCCTTCACTGGTCGAAATTTCAAAAACGCTAGAACAAATGTTTAAATATATCCTATCAAGTGCTTAAATATAAAGTTTCATGGTTTTCTCTTTTAAATTTCAGAAATACCGTACAAACTTTCAACCCCTATTTCAACCTCTTCATCCCCTTTTTCGTAATAAAAGGTAGCCTATATTTTTCTCAGGGTCTAAAAATTGTCTGTGCCAAATTTCATCAAATTCGTTTGAGAGGTTTAAGCGGGAAAGCGTAACAGACAGACAGACAGAGTTACTTTCGCATTTATAATATTAGTTGTGATTGACTCCCCTCCCCGTACCCCAGTGACGCTTACATGGAGCCTACATCGCATGCTGGCTAGCTGATCGCGGTGAGCGGCAACCACGCGACTTTTTTCTAATACTTGCATATTTAAACTCGTGATATCTTCCGAATGAAATGTCCGAATTGAATAATTCCAAGAGTTATAAAAAGGTACTGAAGCCGTCTTGAATATAAAGTAATTTATTTTGATAAGGATTAATACCAAGTTACAAATAAAGAGCCTTTTCAAGCGGCGGATAATAAATTAAATTTTTAGAATAAAAAACCGCTTACTGTGACATAACTACATATAATATTTAGACATATGCTGTCGCGACACTTTTTGTAGATAATGATGAGTTCTGCAAAGTCGTAGTAAATGATTTGGTTCTATCATCAATAGTTTTCGCAGCGCACGCGACGTAAGGAATTTTTCAGATCATTTTTTTACACCTTGGGTTACATTATTAGAGTTTTAGTAAGGATCTCTAATTTTTATTTAAATATAATATAGCTTATATTACTCGGGAATAATGTAGCTTTCCCAAGGTGAAAGAACTTTTGAAATCGGTTCAGTAGTTTCGGAGCCTATTCATAACAAATAAACAAACAATTCTTTCCTCTTTATTAGTATAGATGATAAGAATTGTTTTATTGGAATATAAACTATATCATCATAGAAATAAGAACATTAATTGAATGAGCAACTTTCTTTTCAAAATAATGCCCTTTGAATCATAAGTGACAAATTGGGTATTTTTTGCTTCACTTACAATTCCGTAGCTTTTAGATTATGAAAATATTAAAATTAATTGCTGGAAATAATTAAAATAAAGCATTCGAAAAGTTATTTATAATTAAATTGTTTGTACTTTGCTAATACATACATTCATTCTTAATTAATATAGTTGTCTTTACCTATATTTTATTATCTTCTAGCAAGGCGCCCCGGCTTCGCACGCGTTTAATGCTTATATTTAATACACTAAACAAAAACTGTGAACATTGTATATAAACATAGCGACCCGCTCCGGTTTCGCACGGGCAAAAGATCTACATTATATACTGTAAAGAGCCATATAGATCTATATTGAATTAACAGTGTATTTAACTACTTTTTGAATAAAGATTGACGCTGTAAATTAATAAATAAAATAAAATAAACCTTCCTATTCAATTACCCTATCTAGTTAAAAAAATCGCATTAAAATATTTCGTGTAGTTTTACATATTTAAGCATACATAGGGATTTTGGAACATGAAAGCGACTTTGTTTTATACTATGTAGTGATATTAAATTATATATATGTACCTTCCTCTTTAAATACACAATCTTTTAAAAAGCCACATCAAACTCCTTTGCGTAGTTTAAAAGATTTAACCATACAAGGGAATATAGAAACAGAGAAAGCGATTTTGTTCCATACTATGTATGTATGTGGAGATATTAAATGATTTCTCTTCGGTTTCTATCAAATTTTATCCAATCTCATAATCGCAGTTCTTATTCAGCAGTATGAATCTTGAATTTAGTTAATATTTATTTATAATAGACAGACACACTTACTGAGTAATGTAAGGCCTCGGCCTCGAATTTTGCGGGCAGCGGAGCGGCGGCGGCGGCGGCACGGAAACGCATACTGTTCTCCAAACTAGCGGGCAGCGGGCACCGCTGTATTCGAGGGTCGGTCCATTTGATTATACGCGTAAGATCCTGCCGCTCCCGCTGCCGCTCCCGCTGCCGCTCCCGCTGCCGCTCCCGCTGCCGCTCCCGCTGCCGCTCCCGCTGCCGCTCCCGCTGCCGCTCCCGCTGCCGCTCCCGCTGCCGCTCCCGCTGCCGCTCCCGCTGCCGCTCCCGCTGCCGCTCCCGCTGCCGCTCCCGCTGCCGCTCCCGCTGCCGCTCCCGCTGCCGCTCCCGCTGCCGCTCCCGCTGCCGCTCCCGCTGCCGCTCCCGCTGCCGCTCCGCTGCCCGCAAAATTCGAGGCCGAGGCCTAATTAATATATCTGCTATCTACTTCCTCGAGTTAAAATGAAGCCATGTGTGGAAACAATATCACTATTAAATTACAACTGTGTTATGTCATTTATTGAAATTTTAAAAGTCATACATATTTCATTGGATATTTCAATCCATCTAAGTGAAATATATAAAATAGAAATAGTAAGTAAAAAGACTATACAAATAATTTTGTTATATTATTTATACGTATAAAAGGAAGTATTTCATTTTGTTATCAATATTAACTTAAAAGATCACTTTTTAGTTATACACAGATTGATGAAGATCCTTCTCTCTTTTAACAGTTTAGAAGACTCCAAATATCTCTGAATGTTTTAAGTGATACTCATAAAATGCCAATAACAATTTATAAACCGTCCCTTGATACCACATGTCCCCTATGAGTGTCTCTTACCACAACCTCTGTCAGATTAAAGACTAACCTTTCAGAACCGTAGTATCGTATTTCTAAAAGGTTAAATAGGCAGTTGATCAAAATCTTGTGAAAAATAGTCTTAGTTAGTCAATATTAAGATTACATTTACGATAGTAAATAAAATTCAATAGTGTAGTTGTACTTTAATGTAGGCCGGTTTTTAAAATCTTTTGTAAATCTAAGGTATAATCATTATATTAAGGTCCGATCAAGGTTTAACTGATTGAAAGTTCAGTACGTTAAGTGCTCTTTTTATACTTTTCAGCATCGTTGTCTGAAATAACGTTTTAAAACTGTATTATTTTCTTAGTGGATATTATTTCAACAGTCATTTCTAAGCTGTTTTCTTATAAACATTTGTATCACGGTACATATGAGATCTGAGGTCTGATTGACTCTATCGTGCATGTCACTACGCTTGGCCTGCTCGGCTTGTGGACGGATTTTATTTCTTTATTTCATACGTAATAGCTTGCGGCATGTTTGTTTTTATTCACTAAAGGAAGCAAGATTAGAAGACTGTAGCATTTTTATCTTATTTATAATGCAGCTGTGATTTCTAAGTAGGAACTTATAATGTTACCATGAGAATATATTTTCGTGTACTTCACAAATTAACACGAATTAATTATAATCTATACATAATATATTTCATTAAGCTTTTAATTAAGTTTCCCCAAATGTTACGTACTATAATTGATTAGCCAACAGCTCCTAAATATAGGAAGCGCAATGACAATAACATTCTCTGATGTTCACCAGCTCTTAATGTTTTACTTGTACATATTAAAGAAGAACTTACAAAAAAAACTGAGATTACATTAAATACTTATCATATTCATTTCTAAGCTTGTTTTTTAGATATTTTTTTAATATAAATATTATAATTTAATAAAAAGAACTCAAAAATACTCATACAAGACCATCTATATCACACATGTTACAGATGCAATATAACGTCGTTATTATACTCTGACAGTATATGTATATTGAACTTTCAAATTAAAAAGGGTCATTGAAAAACTTTAGAACAAAAAATAAATACGAGTTAAATTAATGCTCTCTAATATATATTTAATTCGTATAGTGTAATAAACACTACATTTACAGAACCCGCCTCCAGCCTCCCCTCGGCCCCTTCAGTCTCTCTTACCCGAACCTCTGTCACAACTCAGGCGAGAACTCAGTTATATGGTTTGATTACAGTAAAATAATTGAAGATGGTGCTATGTAACATGAAATATAAATATCAATCAGCATTATTATTAGCGCGTCAGGTATATTTTTTAATCTCTAAGATGATTTGGCCTCACAGTAGCACTTATTAATTATGATCTAAAATATAAGAACTTAAAAAAAAGTATATATTTATCATTAAAACATATCATTATCAAGATCCACTGCTAATGAATACTTGTGGAAATTGAAATAGATTTTCATATTAAAGACGTCGTTTGTTTCACTCTAAATTT